CCGTAAGGAACGGGATGGTTTTTAGTCAGTAAGAGTCTGACACTTCCTCCCGCCCCAGCCAGGCGGGAGCAGTCATTCGATGATTTTCCCCCTTAAAAAAATGCTTCAAATTCTTCAGTAAAAATCCTTATCGATTTAGAAAGCACAGCGCAGAATGAAGTGGAAAATTACAACATATCTTAGGTATTGTTACATAAATAATTCTCAGTATGTAAACGTAATTAATACAAGTATTATAGGTACCTATATAATTAGAATTACAAGTAGGTAGCAACGTAATAAAATAAAAATGTCTGTTCAACAGTAATTTGCCTGAATATTCGGTTTATTGTTTCATAATAAATAAACAATATTGTTACAATACCTAGGTACCTATTTTGGATCGTAGGTATAGGAATCAAAGTCAAAGTCAAAGCATTTGTTTTTGTAATCAGACCTCGACGATATTACAACAAGAATATTTTATATAGAGGTACAGAGTAAATTAATTGGGTACCTACTTTCCTTAACCAAAAATAAATTATTTCGACTGTTCAATACAATAAAATATTTAAAAAAGAATCATACTTTTTATAAATTGATTTTAAAACCACCCTTAATTTTAGCATTTTCCAGCAAATTTAAAAAAAGTAAATATTCTGCTTGATGCTAAAAAACCATGACGTCACAATACACAATCTCGTATAAAATTCATAGAAGACTGTCGTTTTTGACAGTTCGAAAAAAGTATTGAATTTGACTAGTTAGCACGTACCCAATTACTTACTACCACCCTTCTCGTGGTGGATGCTGTAAAGACCGGCCAAGGGACTACAGTCTCAAGATATGCAAGCTGAAATGGCATGGGGCAGGCCACGACGCTCGAAGGACTGATGCTGGACGAGGAAGGTAACCGAGTGACCGCGAACCAGAAGACGTGTGTAGCATGGGCAGTCGTCCCAATAGGTGGACCGAATACATCACCAATCGCGGGGAACCAGTGGACACGGGTGGCGAGTTGTCGTTCATAGTGGAGGACTAAGGGGGAGGCTTATGTTTTGTAGTGAACGAATAAGGGACTACACATTTGATAGAGACCAGGCAGTTGAGCTCTCTAATAAAGTTACATAACACATAACATCACGCCTTTTATCCCCGAAGGATAGGTAGAGGCGCAAATTACGGAACTTAATGCCACTGTACAATGTAACACCCACTTTTCCCTACTTATGTTGCGAGTCCTATGCAACAGTGGGTGAACATATTGCCATATACCGCGCACAAATTCAGGCTCCCTGCTACTACTGAGAATTAGAAAAAACTACTAATACTTTGCCCGACCCGGGAATTTAACCCGAGACTCCATACCTAGTCGCACTTGCGACCAGTCAGTCAACGAGTCAGTCAACTTTTGAAGTAGAGTAAGCCTTGTCCAGTATTGGACTGTTAATGATATAGATAACTTAATAATTAGATATTGTTTTTAAGTGAATCCGTACAATATAGTAACATAGGACTTTCAGGGAAAGGGCTTTCTTTCGTAGTGTAGAAGATAGAAACTCTCCGAACAATAAAATGCTAAATTACAGCATCCTGCAGACAGTAGTGTCAACTATGCTATAGACGTATATACATCTAACCACCAGTAAACCACAGCTACAGCAGTACCCAACAGAACAAAACATAAAATTGATAGACTTGTACTATCAAGCTAGTTCATCGTTGCAAGCAAAACTCGCCGCGCTATAATATACCTATCTATAAATAAAATTACATAACCATAGAACAATAACACAGGAACCATGATAAAACCATAGTATTTATAAATCTTTATATTACTGCACATAATATCGTGGGAAATGATCTGACTAAGCGAAATAATTTCATAACGTCGCGTTTAAATGCAAGTTAGCGCAAAATGTTTATTTATTAAAACAATTAGTTGGCATTAATACAGGAAATTCAATGTGAATGAACCGCGAGAAAGAAACTATGTTATGTATAGATAGTAATTATTTATTATAACAATTTGCTTTTGAAGCAATTTTGCCGTGTTTTTGTTTGATTCCGTTGTTGGCCTGATTAGAGGTTATATTGCTGTGTACAAAGTACCTATAATATTGTCATGATGACATAATTTGGAACTAAGTTGTTATATGAATGGAAGTTTCCTATAAATGGGTATGAATGGTTTTTTTGTTTGGATCAGACTTCAAGTTCATTGAATATTGCAATAGGTTCTATATATCTATAGCTCGCAATATTGTCTCCCGTTTATCTGGCATTTCAGTGATAGCACGGAGTCTGAAATACTGGGCGTAGTGCAAACATAGCATAACATAACATCACGCCTTTTATCCCCGAAGGGGTAGGCAGAGGTGTACATTACGGCACTTAATGCCACTGTACAATGTAACACCCTCTTTTCACTATATGTTATGAGTCCCATGTAATAGGGGGTGAGCCTATTGCCATATACCGGGCTCAATTCCAGACTCCGTGCTAATACTGAGATTTTTTTAAATAAACCAGTAATACTTTGCCCGACCAGGGAATCGAACCCGAGACCCCTTGCCAGCAGTCGCACTTGCGACCACTAGGCCAACGAGAAGATGAAGCCCCAGATCTATGGCATGTTGTGATCTCACGAATGGTAAATAACTTGCATTATCATTTGCTTTGTCTTGCTTTGTCTAAGAAAGAACTCAATTTCGGTAGTGATTTTGTCCTGAAATTAACAACACCCCAGAGGTGTTGTTAGACACGAAGATGCTGACAGAGTTACATCATCAACATCCTATAATGCCCAATGCTGAACAAAGCCTCTTCTCATACGGAGAAGGTTTGAGCATTAATCACGCTAGCTCAATGCGGGTTGGCGATTTCAAACTTATAATTAGAAATTATAAGCCCAGGCTCACAATTTTTTCCTTCACCGTTTATCAGTGGTGTCTGAATAATCTTAGAAAGTACATATAACTCGGAAAAAGTAACATTGGTACTTGCCGTTGGTAGGTTTCGAACCCGCACCCTCATGCATAAGAAGTGGGCGTCTTAAACCTCCGGGGCACCACAACAACTAACTAACGTTTTCAGTCTAACGATATGAATTGAAGTGTGGGAGAACCATGCTTCGGTACGAATGGGCCGGCTCGACCGGAGTGATACCACGGCCTCACAGAAAACCAACGTGAAGCAAAGCTTGCGTTGTGTTCCGTTATGTGAGTAAGGTTACCGGAGGCCCAATTACCTTCCCCTTCCCCAATCTCCCCAATCCCTGCCCAACGATCCTCAAACTCCTAAACCCCAAAAAGCCAGTAACGCACTTGTAACGCCTCTGGTGTTCCTGGTGTCTGCTCGTTTACCGGCTTATGACATAAAAAAAATGAAATTTTCGTCACAAACACAACAGATCAGTTATATCAGAGGTTCCATCTAAATACATAGGCTCTAACTACCAAAGCTGTTGCCAAGTCTCATGTTCTTAAGTCATGAACATAATAACTCTCGCGGTGTTTCGTTCCCACGACAGAATTCCAGGTAGGCGATACGACACGCGACACTCGGGGAAAGACAACACACTGTATCTTTACATAGTTACGAATAATTTTACAATTGTCACATGCTGTGAATATGAGCTGTTTAACCGCCATTTTCAATAACTATTGTTTGTAATAAATCCTGCTAAAACGGGTTGTAGACTTACCTAAATAAAAACCGATCTCTATCTTTCTTGAAATCGATTTTTACACTACTTTTACAGAATTTATGCCATATCGTTTCATAAACTTTGAATTCAGTTTGGTAATCAGTAAGTGGGTCTTTATGGAAAATTATCGACTATTAGATCTATATAATTATATAAAAATGAAACCAGTTTCCCGTTGTCACGCCATAACTTGAGAATGGCTAGACCGATTTGGCTGATTCTTTGTTGTGTTTGTTATCGTCAGGAGAAGGTTCTTATGACAGAAAAAAGTCCTGAAAATCCTACGCGAATGGGAGAAACGGGATTGCGCATACGAAGTCGCAGGCAGAAGCTAATTTTCAATAAAAATCCGTCACTAGACTCCACTATAAGAGATTTTGACACACTTAATCTGCATAAAATAAAAGCTCCATTATAGCTACAACAATACCTACTTATACTATTAATAAACTAGCTTATTCCAGCTGATTCATCCGCGATCCTACCCCTGTTTCAAATTTCATCTCGATCTCTTCAGCCCTTGTGAAGGAGTAACAAGGAAATGAACATTCGTATTTATAATATTAGTACGATTGCCTGAAGACCGCAGTTGTCCCGGTGGTGTACGATTCTTACTTATCGGTAATTTCTCTCAGTAATAGCACATATTATACGTATCTACTATTTAACTCGTGGAGTACCGGTTTTGTAGACACAATTATAGAACAATAGGTTGCGGTCACCGGTGACCGCTTGGTGTTTGACAGTTTAAGTTACGGTTGTTGTTCTCCAAAAGGCTAAGCAGAGGTATAAGTTGCTATTACGTAAGAGCAACACTCAACAATTCAATTAGTATCATTTCAACAGTTATAGTAGTCTTTGTCTGGCTCAGGAATCTAAGATGAGAACTTTTGTTCTATACTTAGATGCGTTTGTATTCAATCATTTATATGTTTTCGTTTTTTTATCAAAATTACCAGTCGTATTTAGCAGACTACCTGAAATATTTAATTTATATTTATAACAAAACTGTAACTTTTGTCTGTATCCGTGCCTTGTCAGTAAGTAGCCGTAATGTTACATCATTATTTACACGATAAAAAAAACCAGTCTACACAAATAAAACAAGACTAAAATCCGCCATTTTGCAAATCAGACGGACCCAGTAATAAACTCCCGCCTTTTTAGAGGTCAAGTCTTAAAAAATAAAAGTAAAATTCAAACATCGAACACCCGGCGATGCTCCGCCCCGTCATCTAGCTCTTTCGCTCATTTTCCGTCCTTGTCTGGGGCTTTGAAATGCGAGATAGCTTTTGTTATTTGAGTAGTCGACTTCGTGTAGTGAGGGTGTCAGTCTATAAATTGAAAAAAAAAAATTGAAATAATTATTAGTATTTTTAAACGAGTATTTTAGTTTTTAATATTGTGTGTTGAAGTGGTTAGTGTTTTTTTTTGGTGTGTTTCGGAGTGTTGTGAAGGTAAGGCTTTTTTTTTTATTTCTGTAACTAAATACCTATCTTTATAGGGATGTGAAATTTTAACATAATTAGTAAGTACCTTAAAAAACCTCGAAGGCCACTAGATAAAAAAAAATTGCAACGTTTATTGAAAATAAGTTAATTCAGTCTAATTTTGAATAATGGTAATTTACAAAGTAGGTGCTTACCTGCTTGAAATATTTCCTATTGGATTATTTTATTTTGTCGTCTTTAACTAAAACAAGAACATAACATATAATACATAATTAATTGAGTGTAGTCCTTAATTACATTATGAGATCAACATCGGAGTGCCTGATTCTACCATTTTAGTTTTTTTTAAATTACCTAACTAAAATTTATAAGCTTTAATTGTTCTCCTCTTATAATATCTTCTGATTCACTTCGTTGCGGGAACTAAGACAGTTACTCATGTCAGGGACGCGCCGGACTTCAGTGTTCCGGTGTTTTCATGGTTGTATCTACTGTAGATCCTGGCTTACAGGAGTTGAGTAGGAGTTTTGGGAGGTTGTGGCGGACTTGTCCCATTAAAAAAAAGCTTTAATTCGTTAATAAAATCATGTATTCCAGTATTTTTTTATTGTAGTTTATCTATTAAACTGTCAAAAACCAAGCGGTCACCGGTGACCGCAACCTATTGATCTATAATTGTGTCTATAATGACGATACTCGACGAGTTAAACTGTCAAACACCGCGAGGTTACCGGTGACCGCAACCTATTGCTCTTTAATTTTATCTATAAAGACGGTACTCAAAGCAGTAATATAAGATACTTAAGTACGCTTAGCCTTTTCTTTTCTGAAAGGAGATGGGTCCCTGAAATTCAGATGCGAATAACTGAATACATATGAATACTTACATAGGATTTAAGAGCTAGAAGGTAACTGAAAAAGAAACACGTAATCTCAAAACAAACTTTTACACCTACGGTAAACCCTTACCATGAGAGCCGATTATGCAGAACCTAACGAGTTACCGGGGCTCCGCCTCGACGTGCAGCAGAAGGAACGGGGTGGTTTTAGTCAGTAAGAGTCTGACACTCCCTCCCGCCTCACCCAGACGGGAGCAGTCATTCGATGATTATCCCCCTTAAAAAAAGGCTATGTATATATTATGTGACAGAGACCAAGCAATACAACGAGTAGGTGACCACAAAACAAAGAGACACATAACTGTGGAAATGTGAAAAGAATAACCTCAGTTAGTCTAGTTATAACTGTTGAGCACGAATTTCTAAGTTCAGATCAGTTCAGATTTCCAATTTTGAAAATTTTGGTAGCAACGATAATGACGTAAATAAGTGCACGATTTTAGCGCTTCCTATTTTTTTAATTATTGTCATCACCTCTTCTCTTTCGGCGGGTATCGTACTCGAAAGAGCTGTTTAAGAATTTACAGATTTACACATTTGGTTGAGTCTGGGAAGTAGCGTTGTAAAGCATCAAAACATAAAATATATGGACACAAAATTTACACTTTTATTAATTTATATTTTAACAGCAATTTCCTACGAGCCGAATCAAACTCTAACAGCCGATCCCTTATTTATTTATTTATTTATTTATTATCACACTTACATCTATCATTACAGGCTTAACATAATGTGACAGAGAAGCTACTTACATTAAACAAAACATGCAAACAAAGTTAATAACAGCAGTATCCTTAGACCAAACATACATACAGCCTTATATATTTACTATATATATTTACTTATATATTTACTGCTTTCAATAATTGTATAGTGGTGTTAATTTTATAAAAAAGTAACGATGTTTGATATTTCTCCTGCCTGTGTGGCTTATTTATTTATTTACCACTGCTGTTGCCAGTGACTTCGTCCGCGTACAATATGATTCCTATTTTATCCCATGGGAGCATTTAATCAGGATAGAAATATCATATTACCTAAATCAGCGCATACCCTGACTGTATACCAAAATCCGTGCCGTAGTTTCAGCGTGATTAACCGTCAAACATTCAAAAAAAGAAACTTTCATATTTATAATTAGTGTGATTTGATGTATACCAATATTATATGACAATATTACAAGGGACAACACATTACAAGCATGAGGTAGGTACCTATGGAAGGTACTGCATTATTCCATAAGAAATTTCTTCCTGCACACCTGCGGTATATACTTTTCCTTTTTATTTCTTTACAAAAAAACGTTTCCCCCACTAAGATTTTCTCCTGTGTCGTGGGTGCGTTTACAAACATACAAGTTCACATACACATGACACCCAGACCCGGAACAACAATTTGTGGATCAATCAAAGAGCTGCTCCGTGCGGGTATCTAACCCGCGACACGTTGCGCGGCACCCACCGCGACAACCGTACAGTCTGTATATATGTATAATGTATTTCTTTTTCTAAAAACAATTACATTTTTATCCAAAAGAGATAAGAAGTTAAATCGTGGTATTACAAGAAAAACATAACATAACATCACGCCTTTTATCCCCGAAGAGGTAGGCAGAGGTGCATTTTATGGCACTTAATGCCACTTAAGTTCCATGTAATAGGGAGAGAACCTATTGGGAGAGGCTCGAAACGGAGTTTGGAATTGTGGTATATGGACCACAATTCCAAACTCCGTTTCGAGCCGGAGCCCCGGCAATCCGTTAAGTCGTACGTGACTCCAAGTTTACCATATCCATGAGATGGTGACGAATGTTATTTTATTCTACCTTTCCACTGACATGCCTAGTACTAAAATCTTATCAAGCATTGAAGAGGGAAAGCCGTCGGACCCGGTTCTCGTGCGAAATGCGAAAATGTTGACGAAGCTTTATTATTAAAACATTTGTTAAGTTCATATCCTTAACAGTGAGATTGGCGATGGTATCAAGATTTAATATTTTTTGGACTCTGTGCAACTATTTTTCCGTATTTCAGACATCGGAAAATTTGTAACTTTTCACACAAGGACCAAACAAGGACATTGAATTTCGGTTGACGTCACATTTTTCCTATTCAAATTATTAAGACCTATTTCTAGTATCGATTTTAAAAAAATAACTAAGTAAACGTTATTATTTTCCCCTATTATTCTTCAGTCAACTGTCGAAAACATTTTGGTCGATTTTGTAATAATTAAATTATCAACAAGGGATCAATTGGATTCAATAATAGGATTTATTTACAACCTAGTTACCTGAACAACTGAATTGAATGATATCTGACCTGAACTTAAGATAAAATACTGGAAAAATCACCAAATACCTAGAAGGAAATAAGGGTTTTGTTTACAATATAAAAACGTTTATTTAGTAAGGTTATGAAAGTTAAACGGATTTTATAATCAACAGTTACTGAGAACAATCTACCAATCTACCTACTTACTAATTAATAAAGAAAATCAGCTAAACCTTTTCGTGTAATTCATGTTAGAAAAATTGGCATAGAAATAACTAATTATAGTCCGGAATAAAAAAAAAAATTATGGGATAGGCCAGTAAACGAGCAGACGTATCACTTGATGGTAAGCAGTTGGCGCCGCCCATGGACACCTGAAATATCAGAGGAGATCAATTGATCTCCACGCACAGTTGTGCGTCGCCGGCATTTTGGGGGTTAGGGGTGAAAATTGGGATATGGAGATTAGGAGATTGAAGTACGGCAGAATTAGCCTCCGGGAACCTCACTCACGCACGCGGCAAAACACCACACGCTAGAGTTGTTTCACGTCGGTTTTTTGTAAGGTCGTGGTATCACTCCGGTCGAGCCGGCCCATTCGCGCCAAAGCATGGCTCTCCCACACGTGAAATAAAAGCTTTTTAACCCAATAACACGGGCGAAGCCGCTAGCCGCAGCTAGTATCGTGTAAATATCATGAATGCCCCGACACACAAACATTTTTCTTGACATTTCTAGGAACCACGTGGTTGTAGTTCAAATGAAACAATTTTGTTATCAGTACATGTCCGTTTGTTCGTCCGATGTGAAATATTGTTATGAAAACAAACCGATCGTTATTTTCACCCGACACCAACGAAAATTTCTTTTAAATAATTGGCGAAACGTAATGGTGACACCAATTATAATGATGTGATACAAATATCCGTTGCATAGTTTAATTTATTCGACGTTGTTTACTTTTCGTGTAAGCGGCGGGAAGGTAATGAAAAATCAGTGCGTTTTTTATTGTTGTCTTTTTATACATTTTGTTTTTGATTACGGTAATGTTTATTAATTATAGAGGGCATAGAATTGGTAGAAATTTTGACGATCTGTTGTAACTTTTTTTTTAAGGGAGGAAAATCATTGAATGACTGCTCCTGCCTGAGTGAGGCGGGAGGGAGTGTTAGTCTGTTGTTACTTGTCTATCTTATTATGATTGGAGGGCAAAGTGAGTGACATATTAGTTCATTGCAACTTACGCTTTTGGATAATAAGTGATGTCTTGATTATGTTATTTAACTCGTCGAGTACCGTCATTATAGACACAATTATAGAACAATAACTTGCGGTCACCGGTGACCGCTTGGTGTTTGACAGTTTATGTCAAATTGGAAGAAAACTGCCTCTTTGGTCGAGTGGTCGCAAGTGCGACTGCCGGGCAAGAGGTGTCGCGTTCGATTCCCGGTTCGGGCAAAATATTACTGGGTTTTAAAATAACTCTCAGTAGTAGCACGGAGTCTGGAATTGTGCCCGGTATATGGCAATAGGCTCACCCCCTATTACATGGGACTCATAACATAAATAGTGAAAAGTGGGTGCTACATTGTACAGTGACATAATGTACACCTCTGCCTAACCCTTCGGGGATAAAAGGCGTGATGTTATGTTATGTGGAAGAAATCTGTGGCTAATTTTGAAGGTTTTTCGTTTTCTACATTTACCTAAAACTGAAGTAATTTAATTACCTACTGTTGAAAGCAAATTATAGTGAACGATATTACTTAGTTTTGTGCATTAGGTAATCCTACCACCCTAATGGGTGCATTGAGAATATTAATTACGTTTACTTAAATTAAGATGTGTTAGTATTTAAAATTAAATATTTAATAATCATATTCTTACAGGATTTAGAAGCAGTCCTGTTTCCAAGATTCTGTGATGAAATCCACAAATATGGAGACTTGTTCCGACCGCCTGAGTCCGTCGAGCGACTTAACAAGCGAGTCGGAAACATCGCTACCACCTTTTCCTTACGACAACCAGAATGGAAACTTCTACCAAGCAGAGTTAAACGAAAAACAATACTTTTCTTGCAAACAAAAAGCAAGAAATGAAGAAAAAAGCCCGAAAGACATTTACCTACAAGAAAGCAATAAAATGACATTCGAGAATTATCTTTCCCCGCCAAGAAACAAGAAATATTTGAATTTCGAACTCAAATTGCCGCCAACGAACGACAATATTTTTTCGCAAATGGATGCCGACAATCGGATGCGTTCAGGTTACTTCAACGAGGTCCAAGATCTAAAGAGTTGCGTTCAGAACGAGAATAATCCTAATTTGTCGGAAATGAAGTTGAATCAGCAGATTTTTGACTACGTGAACGTGAATGAGAGAGTGCCACAGACGTATTTTGCTGAGAATGAGAACAGTAATCTGCGGTATTTGAACTTTAACTCGGAACAAGTGCAGTGTGTTTGTGAGGCGTTGCAGCAAAAAGGTGATATTGAGAAGTTGGCAGTGTTTCTAAGGAGTTTGCCGGACAGTGAACGACTTCGAGCACATGAGACAATACTGAGGTAAGTGATATCATATTGCATAAGAGCCCATTGTTATTGTAAAATAGTTATACCCCTATAGTAATTTTATTACACATCTATACACAGTGAAGCTATCATCTTTATCGCCCCATCTAAAACATAACATTACGCCTTTTATCCCCGAAGGGGTAGGCAGAGATGTACATTACGGCACCTAATGGTGCAACAATGTAACACCCACTTTTCACTAAAGACTCCGTGCTACTACTGAGAATTGTTTACAAAACCTAGTAGTACTTCGAATGTATATAGGTAATCCGTGATTATTTAATGTTAATTAGGTATTTCTAAACACAACATAAATCTTACACACATATCTCCATTGGATTTAATATTTAACATTCGCAACTCAAGTTTTATTTTATTAAACTCAGTTCATTAGTGCCTGAGACTTCAGTAGATAAACCGAGTGTTTTCTAACCTTTATCCTTTATTTTTAGAGCACGAGCACTAGTAGCGTACCATAAAGGTGTATTCAAGGAGTTGTACGCTATACTACAGGCGCACTCATTCCCGCCAAGACATCATACCGCTCTACAGACTCTGTGGTTTAAAGCGCACTATTTAGAGGCTCAGCAAGTTAGAGGCAGGCCTTTGGGTAAGATAGTTTTGCATGTTTTAGTTTTTTTTTTTTGAAAACATTGCCCCACACTAGGATTTTCCCCTGTGTCGTGGGTGCGTTTACAAACATACAAGTTCACATACACATGACACCCAGACCCGGAACAACAATTTGTGGATCACACAGTGTTGTTCCGTGAGGGAATCGAAGCCGCGACACGTTGCACGGCAGCCGGTTGCCCAGCCACCGCACCAACCGTGCAGTCAGTTTATTTTATAGAGTAGACAAGCATCTGCTTGTAATTATCTGATGGTAAGCAACTAGCGTGACCTGCGGATACTGAAGGAATTACGCTGGCTCTATGAGAAAGGAGGAGGTATTGGGTCAAACGTAATTTCCCTTGCACGGTCCTCTTTTCCTCTGAGGCCTGATCGTGGTTCTTTGACATGTTCATTAGTTCAATTTCACCAGTTGTTTGTAGCTAGACAATATTAAAAGAACTATTTAACACTATGTATATTACAATGTATAGTTGACGGCTTCCCGACTTGAGTACCGAATCAAGGACTGATTTATTTAATAAGCTATTATTTTTATTTTCGGCTTCATGCACAAGTTAATGTACAAGATGGTCTGAATCCCAAGGGTATTCTCTTCCAGCCAGACTACTAACATTAATTTTGGTTATAAATCTTCAATTACTTAACGTAAATCTTAAATTTTAGGTGCCGTAGATAAATATAGACTTAGAAAAAAGTATCCACTACCGAAGACCATATGGGATGGGGAAGAGACCGTCTACTGCTTCAAGGAGAAGAGCAGAAACGCTTTGAAAGACTGCTACTATAGAAATAGGTAAGATCATTATTTTGACCATTTATCGACCAATGAGAGCCGAGCAATAGGTGAAGCCGCGCAGGAGTAGATAGTAATATTATAAGGAAATTCGAAAGCGTGTTTGTTTCTCTTTTATTCAGATCTCATGTCACAATGGAGTGTTCATAAATTGTTGTTCTTTATCTGGGTTTACTTAAAGTACAAAATGATTTCGTACCCAAGTAAAATAGGCACGGGCCAGACCCGAGCGTCCCGCGCGCGCTTCAATGGTTCATCGAAACACCATGGATGAGGCGCACTACGACGGGAGAAGTCATTCGATGATTTTCCCCCCTTAAAAAAACCCAAGTATAACGTAGAAATATTATTTCGGAAACAATTTTTTTTAAGAAATATATCACATCATAAAGGAATATTTTGTCTCTGCAAAGGTATCCCACACCCGACGAGAAGAGGGCATTGGCTCAGAAGACGGGCCTAACCCTGACACAGGTCTCCAACTGGTTCAAGAACAGGAGGCAACGAGACCGGACACCACAACAACCGAATAGACCGTGAGTACCAGACTTATATTTTTAAACATAAAAACTACTAGTTTCTAGCTACAGAGGGCCTCAAGATCAGCGTGCGCGGTCTAATCGCAAATTAGTAGAGCTTTTCTCAGTATATTCACGTGAGTAACTCATGATTTTTAGTTAATTTAGTATGTCTTACGATAGAAAGTAAAACTAAAAAGCAGATTAAACTGTCAAACACCAAGCGGTCACTGGTGACCGCAACCTATTGTTCTATAATTGTGTCTACAAAACTGATACTCGACGAGTTAATTTTTTTTTTTATATATTTGTTTTGGTAGATAAAAGTAATGAGTACCGTGTTTTATGTCACCCTGCTGGACCTACGCCTGTTCCATCTATACCAATATTATAAAGCTGAAGAGTTTGTTTTTTGTTTGTTTGTTTGAACGCGCTAATCTCCGAAACTACTGGTCCGATTTGAAAAATTCTTCCTGTGTTGGATAGTCCATTTATCAAGGAAGGCTATAGGCTATAAAACATCACGCTACGACCAATAGGAGCCGAGCAGAGCGAGTGCGAATGCGCGGAAGTAGTTATGTAACAGGCGTTTTCTATAATGTCCACAATTAGCAGACGGGTTAGCGATCGCAGTTTCAATAGGTTTAGGTTTATCCATTTTTTTAATTGAATAAGCTGGTAACGGTGAGACGGATCACCTGATGATAAGCAATCGGCGCCGCTCATGGACACCTCGAACACCAGAGGCTTTACAAATCCGTTATCGGCCTTTTGGAAATTAGGAATTTGAGAATTGTTCAGGATTCAGCAATTGAGGAGATTGGGGAGGGGGGAGGGGGGCGTAATTGGGCCTTCGGTAACCTCACTCACACGAAACGTTATTATTTAACGTCGGTTTTCTGCGCGGCCGTGGTATCACTCCGGTCGAGCCGGCCCATTCGTGCCGAAGCATGGCTCTTTCACACATAAAATGTTTGTCCGTCTTTGTTAAATAGGTATGTAGGATCTTTGTCGGCTCTTCCACTGAAAGAGCAGGAGTTGTTACAATTGTAGTAGGTACAGTATATAGTTACAGTATTCTACTCTGCCGTTGCTACATGGCAATCCAGTTTATAATTTTTGCCCTTATAATCTACATGGCACAAATCCTTCTTTAATGAAAACTAGGGGCAGGTCACAGCGTCGCTCGGGGATAGTGCAAATCCGAGGAACTATCTGACAAATGTTACGCTACCCTAATTCATAATTTCGCGGTAAAATCCCGTAATTAGAGAAGCAAGAGTTATTTTCGACACATTTAAAAATAATTAATATAAAATATAACAATTATGTGTATACGTAAATAATAAAAAATTACCTTCAAATTCATTCAAATCAATGTGATTTAATAAAAGTTTTAACCTTCGCCTGTAAAACTAGATCTATTCCTTTACGTATGATAGATTTGTGAATTTGCTCTATCCCCGACGATAGAAACACATCTGCTAAACTGTTACTGTACAAAGAACAAAAGCCGAAACCGAATCCTCATCGGTTCTTGTAAAAATGACCCACAGTATCATCAAATCTCTCAGGACACAACATTTAACATCGATACACACGTGTGGATAAGTTTTTCAAAATTTTGACCTTTGTTCTAATTGATTGATGACCCATAATGAGGGTTTATAGCCCTGAATAGGTCAGAAAGGACACAAGGTAAAGAAAAAAGTAAAAAAAAAAATGTTTTGTTTTATGTTAGACCGCGCGCCGGTCAATAGGAACACGTGTCAATGATCTGGATTGTTTGTGTGACTCGACTGAAATCTATGGTCAAACTGAAACGCATATATTTCAATTAAACCATAATTTGGTACTTTTGAAACGTCAACAAATATGAAATAAATAATAGTCTGTCAGTCTGTCCCTCAGTGAAGCTAGGCGCTCGTTCCAAAATGACGATTCGAGTGGAGAAGAACGAGCCAGCAACTCCATTCGTTATTCTATTTAAAAAAAATCGATGTTGGGTAATAGGGAAAGTGTTGTAGTTTTGAAAGTGAGAGTCCGGTGTTAAGGACTTCTGAAAAGTTATTATTAATTAACAGATTGACACGTAATAGGGTAGACGACTAATTTTTATTTTAATGTCCGTCTGGTAGATTATTTAAAAACATTAGACACGTATTTTTTATTTTCTTACGGAAACGAATAGTTTCGAAGATATATTGATTTGAAATGTCGCGTGACGTCACTTCTAAGTACATTTTATACTAAGAAATGACGTTTTAGCCCCCACTCCTAAACTTTGATTCGTTTTATCTAAGTATTGTTTTATTATACAACAAAATAAAAAAATACGTGTCTAATATTTTTTTATTACCTAAGTTACGGACTAATTATATTTTTTATTTTCATACCCTGTCATCATCCCCATTGTTTGTTTACGAAAGACATGTTTACGAGTACACATTTGTCTGTCTTCGTTGTTCATAAACGTAATTTTTATTATATCTGAAATATTGTATTATAAACACATTTTTTTGGCATATTGCAAAAGAACTCAAGTAAAGTGCTGTGTGGTCGCGAGTGCGACTGGAAAGGCAAGAAGATTCGGGTTCGATTGGTCGGACAAAATAATACTAGTCTGGAATTGTGCCCGGTATATGGCAATAGGCTCACCCCCTATTACATGGGACTCATAAAATATGTAGTGAAAAGTAGTTTGACATTGTAGTACTAAGTGCCGTAATGTTCACCTCTGCCTACACCTTCAGGGTTAAAAGGCGTGATGTCACTATGAAACTCAAGTAAACTTTGTTCAATCTGAAAATCGAGTCTAATTTTTAGTTCTTGGCCATCACAATTCCAGCTCTTCGACCAAAGAACCATTCAGAAATTCAAATTGTATTGTATATGCGTCACATACAATAAAAACTACTATACAAGCTACGTACACACACAATCTTAACAAACTCACACATGTATATGAGTGCTTACGATAAGTAAATAAAGTTTTACAATTTATTGTTTCAACTCAAAGCCCCATTGTGTTACTGAGATGTCGACGTTTTTTCGTCTGAAGGTTACCATATCGTCCTGTGTGCAGGGACGTACTAGGTACCAAATAAAGGGCCCCGTCATACGAATAAAATCAATACCAAAATCTTTGGATTTATCTATATTTTTGATATTAGTTCTATTGAATGTATGGTCTATAAACAATTAAAATCTACTACAAACTTTTAAAACTAGTTTCAACGCTTGCGTTGTGTTTCGTCGTGTGAGTTACCGGAGGCCAAATTCCCCCCCCCCTCGCCAATCCCTCAATCCTCCATAACCCTCAAATCCCCAATTCCCAAAAGGCCGATAACGTACTTGTAACCGCTCGTTTCCCTAAATCATTAAAAATAGTTTGTACCTATATAAGTTGCAACCGTAGGCTTAATTGAACTATTTCAACGGCCCAGTTCTACGGTACCCCTTTGACAAATAAGCAAATCCGACTCTGTACAATCGGTGTATAGCTAGCTATTAGTTATTGTTTAGTATAACGATTGGTTCAAAGTCATCGGGGTATTTGATTTTCAGGTTCCACTTGACTTAGTTTTAAAACAATGCCCGTCTAAGGTGATATAGATTTTTGATTCTTAGAACTCTTATAATAAAGAACTTATAACGGTCTCTTTTGCATGAGAGAGTAACTACCGATTTCAATAACTTAAATATGTGAATATGGACCAAGTTTCTTAATCAAAAATAAATTATTTCGACTGTTCAATACAATAAAATATTACAAAATAATCACACTTTCATTGATTGATTTTATGACTAACTTATTTTTAGTGTTTTTACAGCAAATTTTTACGAAATAAGTATGCTGTTTGACGCTAAAAAACGTGACGTCACAATACACAATCTCGTACAAAATTCATAGAAAACTGTCGTTTTTGACAGTTCGAAAAAGTATTGAATTTGAATGTAGTTGGCACAATGAGTTGGCAAATACCCAATTTTTGACATTTGTTGTATGGAGTTTCAAAAATCGATCTTGCATGAGGGTGCGGATTCGAAACCTACCAACGGCAAGTAGAAATATTACTTTTTCCGAGTTATATTTATATTACCGGTGCTTTTCTTGCTATATACAAAGTACAATAAGTAAAGGCTAAGTTAAAATTAATTTTAACACGTTAACCAACGCGTAAGTCACGTTAGCGGAGGATTTGCCTTCAGCAGTTTTCTTTCGGTAGTCAAAGGGTTAATCGATGTCCGTATCGATTCACAGATATTGGATGGTAATAACATAACATCACGTCTTTTATCTCCGGAGGGATACGCAGTGCGCATTACGGCATATGGATTGAAATAGGTTATTGAAATTGGCTGTAACACTTTAAACATTTTTTAACGCTCCCGAAGAAATGTATAGTCGACTTTTACGAAACTCAAGGGATGAGTAGGTAGAGGTTGTCACAAAATGCCATACTATTTAAAATTTAAATAAAAAACAAAAGTTTGAATGAGTATCCACAATAATCACACATTCCCGAACATTAAAAAAATCTGTTATCTATAATAATTGCGTTATAAACTAAGTTGATAATAAAAATCGACTTCAATCGCCTCTTATTATTAAGTCGGTTACTTAGTATACTAAAACCTTATCTTTAGTCTAACAGAATACTTTTCTGAAAACTGGATCGAAATCGGTTTAGCCAATCGTGAGATAATCTTGCACTAACATACCTACATACATACAGGTCAATACAGAGCCTATTTTTTTTGGAGACGATTAAACATAACATTACATAACATAACATCACGCCTTTTTATCCCCGAAGGGGTAGGCAGAGGTGCACGTTTCGGCACTGAATGCCACTGTACAATGTAACACCCACTTTTCACTAATTATGTTATAAGTCCCATGTAATAGGGGGTGAGCCTATTGCCATATACCGGGCACATTTCCAGACTCTGTGCTACTACTAAGATTTTTAAAAAACCCAGTAATACTTTGCCCGACCTGGGAATCGAACCTGAGACCCCTTGCCCGGCAGTCGTACTTGCGTCCACTTGGCCAACGAGGCAGACGATTAAACATATTTTTTTTATTGTTTCAGAGAAATGCTAGTACCGGCTCAATATGCGGGACCTCAAGGAGGTTTGGCACAGGCATTGCTGCCTAATGCCTATTACCACCAACTACAAGATCCGACGCACTATTTACATGGCGGCGCACCATAATTGTCAATTAAAAAAATAGTCAATTATTTCAGTGCCCGGCAATAAATATCGCACATCGAACAATTTCGTTTCTTATTTTGATCATTTATTTCTACAAAACTTTATTTTTCAGTCTTTGGCTGACTGTCCCCTTTCAAAAGTTGATGTGCAATATTTATTGCTAGGTACTGTACCTACCAGTGTTAGACAACAGTAAAAATTGTAATTAGTTCTTACTTATTCTCAACAGATGGCACTAGTGTTCTAAGGGTAAGATATTATGTAGGTCTTTACATTTATCGGACTGTGAAAAATGGTGTTACTGGTATATAAATATTATTTTATAATTTTTAGATTATTGTAAATAGTTAATTCTAGTTTTATGTATACGTATTAAAGTTTTATTATTATATTCATTGTCGAGATATTTAGTAGTAAAGTATTTGGTATTGTAGATGATGTTGCAATCAAACTGATGGAATACGTATTTTGAGGTTTAAAAATAAGGTAACAATACTTTTGCTATATTATACTGAGGGGATCTTATAGATAATCTTATATTTGTTTTCTTTTTTACTATAGTTCCTAAATGCCATGCAGTTTATAATTTTAGTTTTAATTTAAGTTTGTCAATACTTTAAAAAGATATGCAAATCTGTGTAATATTGTATAATTATCTATACTTGCTCAGATCGATTAAAATGTTTGTAAACGAATCACAAAGTTTAAACTATATTTGACCGCAGCGAATAGCACTTTTGTGTGATTCCATTTTTTTGTTATCATTCAGAACTGTGAGTAAAATAATTCGGAATGGGGCTATCGTTTATAGCTCACTAGATTGCGTAAACCTAGCAAAAGGTCTTTTGAGGGGGGAAATTCATCTAATAACCTCTCCCGCCCGGGTGAGCCAAGAGGGAGTGTCAGACTCTTACTGACTAAAAACCAACCTACTCCTGCATTTCTAGCCGGAGCCCCGGCAACCCGTTATGCTACCCCGTTCCTATTCCTGCACTTCATGCCGGAGCTCCGGCAACCCGTTAGTAATTAGTCCTCCCAATCAGTGTAGCTGTCAAATATGGATCCATTAGTGTGATACTAGCAAATTTCCTATTGGACGAAGTACAAGACGGCTACACTAGTGCCATCTAGTGAACAAAGACCCTATTGTGAAGGCGTAGTTTTTCTACCTTTATGGTTTGTCTATAAACATTTCACATCGATCTTAACCTATGAGTAAAAATAGACGCTATTATTTTGTGATTAATGCTCAAAATACTATAGTTTGATGGTGCAGTTTATGTTTCAAACCATTGTATTCTAGTCTGGAAGTGAATTAAAGTTCTATGAGAATTATTTTATTGTCGTTTTTGTTTTTTAAGTTCAACTGCCTCTCGTTGTCTCTCTCGAATAAGGCATTTTAGGTTCGAACCTTATAATTGGTTATGTATGTACATACATAACTTCATGTCTGTCTCCCATGGGGTAGGCAGAGACTATGGAACGCTAATTGCTATGATTCTTACATACCTCTTTCGTTTCATCAACAGTTATCAGTTCATCAGTATTATATTGAACTGAGTTTGTAGTAATTCCTCAACATTATTATTTAAGATTTATGCGTATGAATTTTTTTTTTTCAATATATAATATATTATGACAAATAGGTTGGTCGCCATCAGCGGAAAAAAATCAAAATACGACTTTTATTAAGTGGTGAAAATCATAGAATAACTGCTCCAGTCTGGGTGAGGCGGGAGGGAGTGTCAGACTCTTACTGACTAAAAACCACCGAGTTCCTTCTCCTGCACTTCGAGCCGGAGCCCCGGTAACCCGTTAGGTTCTTCGCGACTCCGAGATAATACGACCATACGACTACGACGCGACAGAACCGATACCTACCGCCATCTATTGGACAGAAATAAGAACTTAAACTTTTGATAAAACTGATGTTGGGGAGGTTGGAATAAAAATGTGTTTTGCAATCGTTAGGTAGCGCTGTAGCAAAATGTTTATGAAACTAAGTACGTCTTTTGTAGCTTTAATTCAAATCGTATCTGTAGTAGGCATAGGCGTAATTTTATCACTATGATAATGGACGAAGTAAAAGATGTAAGTACTTATGTAAAGGTGAGGTGACAGTCTGTAGGAGGCGGCCCACAGTGCTTTCTGGGCCGTTAGTCTCGACATTGTTAACGACAACACTTTTGTTCGCAAAGATTACTGTCGTTAACATAGGTAGTCAAGACTTCCAACTCTGCTTAATATGAAGGCTTTATAAAAATAAATAACCATCGGCTTTTTAAAGATTATTCCATGATTTTTGTAGGTGTATTTATTGATTTTAAATACATTTAATACAAAAACGTCAAAAACACAAATAAAAAAGTACCGTACCCAAGTACGTAAATGGTCGATCAATGCAGTCTTGTAGCAATGCGGGTTTACTTCAATATTGGCTGATTGAATGAGCCTTTTTTGAGATCAATCTCAAAGAAATATTGGTCAGCAGTTGACATACCTAAAATCTGATTAGTATTATTACAATCTTGAGTATCTTACTTTAAAACCTCTTGAAATGATTTTCATTCCATTTTGTGTTTCAAACTTATAATTAGTTTATTGTCTAAACGATTTAAGCACCAATATTGTTTTCTTATTTCACCATATCTTGTTTTAAGGTTTGAGAGCTTGAAAATGGTAATAATGTGATGTAAGTAGACTGTATCAGTTATTTCCATCTTGGCTTTACCACGATCTGAAGAAATCTTTGACATCATTGATATGGGCCCAGCCAAATGGAATCACTTCCCACATCACAAGGGCTGTAAGAAAACAATTTCTCAAAGTATTACGTGTTTTCCTTCGGATACTGATTTGTCGCTTTGGTGGCATTGCATTGCAAGGCATTGCCATGAGGACCGGTTGTCAGGTTGTCATTAGAGTTGTCTTACGGTGTGTTCTTCTATGTGACTATTTTATTCTTATTCAATTACATCACAAAAATGGTTAAATGATAGTAAGGAAGTAAGGGCTAATTTCCTGATCAACAAATTTTTCTTATCTTTAAAAAATATTGACATTTGACAGTTTATTGTATGAATAAATTGTCAAAAATTCTAAATTATTACTCCAATAAATTTTATATAGCGTTGAAAAATCAGCCCTTGATTAAATACAAATGTACTTCCATTAAATTAATATTGATTACACCTCATATTTTAAATTAGTAACATTTCAAGGTATCGAATGCTAAATTAGTCGATTTTAAAAACTCTGAACGCCACTGTGATGCATCTCTATAAACGTCAAATTCATTATTGCAAAATATATCGTGGGAGGATTGAAGTTCTTTGTTTTCATTTTGATTTCCTTGAAATTAACTAATAGAAACAATTTAAATATTTCAAAGCCACAATAAATTATCGATATTACGTGTTAGTGACACCGTTAAAGTACTATATGTTTGGATTTTGTACATGACGTAACAGAGAAAGGTCCTTACGATGAGTGATTCAAAGTCTTTCGTAAACTTTTCGTGTCAGCGATGTTTGCAGCCACTGAAGCTGGATGAGTCTCTGAACAACTTGGGTGAGCACACGATTGCTGACCTTGCGCTCCAAATTCGTCGCAACAATGAGGTCGACTTAGATATGCAATCAACAAGCTTAGAACATTACGTACCTCCGTTTCGCATGTCAGAATCAGGTAACGGCGCAAATGGGTTTATGGTGATCTCAGACGGCTGGGAGACAACCTCCTTGGGCCACCAGCTCCACGTCAAAGCTACTCTATTCGACTTATTATCAAATAATTCAGATGTAGACCATCCATTGTGCGATGAGTGCACAGATACATTATTAGAGTTAATGGATAACCAGTTACGTCAAACTGAGGCTGAATGGAAAGACTACAATGACTATTTAAAAAAGTTAGAGGATGATAAGGAGGATTTGAATTTGGAAGGGTTGGAGAAGGAATTAGGGGATTGGAAGCAGGAACAAAGTCGTTTACTACAGGAATTGTCTGCTTTACAAAAAGAGGAGAAAGCTATGAAAGAAGAGATTGATGTCCAAGAAAGAGAAAAAGAGAGATTAGAAAAGGAACAAGATGTTTATTGGAGAGAGTACACTAGATACAGGAAAGATTTGATGACCATTGAGGACCAAATGAAGTTTTACGAGTGTCAACTTACATACACACAGTCTCAACTTGAAAAGTTAAAGAAAACAAATGTATTTAAGGCTACGTTCCACATTTCGGATTCTGGTCAGTTCGGTATTATAAACAACTTCAGGCTTGGACGTTTGCCATCCGCACCAGTTGACTGGTCTGAAATTAACGCTGCTTGGGGTCAAACTGTTCTTCTTCTTTCTTCATTGGCACGTAAAATAAGCTTTAATTTCCAACGCTATAAGCTTGTGCCGTATGGAAATCACTCTTACATAGAAGTGTTAGAAGATCAGAAGGTCCTACCGTTATATGGTTCCGGAGGATTCCGTTTCCTATGGGACACAAAGTTCGATGCGGCCATGGTAGCATTCTTAGACTGCCTTCAACAGTTTAAGGAGCAGGTTGAGAAAGGCAATACGGGTTTCTGTCTGCCTTACCGAATAGATAAAGGTAAGATTGAGGATACAGCTTCTCCGCCACATGCATATTCAATCAAAATTCAGTTTAACTCGGAAGAGCACTGGACAAAAGCCCTCAAATACATGTTGACGAATTTAAAATGGGCATTGACTTGGATTTCATCGCAATTTAGCGAAGATAAACCTGAAAATCAATGAAAATGTTTCTCTTTTAGTGTGATTTGGCTAGTTTTATAGGTCTCTGATAACTTCCTGATAGATTTAACTTACAGATAGAATCGTACTGATTTAATTTAAGTATTATAATTGTATTTATCAGGTTGTTTTTAATGGGTGTAAAACCGGTCATAACTCGTAAATGTAAACTTTACTTTTTACTTGGAAACTGTTATTTCTTGCAATTTTATTCTGAGGTATGAGGTACGACGTAGTTAGTACGAGTTTGTGTAACGTATAACGAGATCGAATCGAGACCACGTTCTCCGCTCCGATTGGCGTTGGTTAATTAGAGCCGGCCAATAAGACCGCGGTCTCGATTCGATCTCGTTAAGAGTAAAACTAATTCGTACTAAGTCCTCTGCTCGTCACTTTGTTGTTATTTCAATTAAAATAATACAGGATCCTAGGTCTATATTGTTTTCAAACTAAATATGTTGATGTTTGCTACCACACTGTGATTTTATCTCTATTCCTAATTTGTATATAAATAACTAGCTGTAGCTAAAGAATGTGTAAATATAAATGATATAATAAATGTTTTGTGGTAACTAATTAGTTTGATTTCTTTTTACTGAGAAGAAATTAATAATTATTGCAGCAGGCAGAATCAATACTATTGTTATTTTAGCATAGGTTTTTTTAATTTGGTTGCAATGCCATCTATCTAATTTCAGCTGTACTACGTCAGTAGATATTCTTGCAATAAGGTGCTATCTGTGTTAGTGATTCGCCATCCAGATCCTAGATGGCGCTTTTAATTTAATGATAGAATTTTTTTTTTGTTTAATTAAAACGTTGCCCCACATTAGAATTTTCTCCTGTGTCGTGGATGCGTTTACAAACATACAAGTTCACATACACAATGACACCCAGACTCGAAACAACAATTTGTGGATCTTACAAAGTGTTGTTCCGTGCGAGAATCGAACCCGCGACACGTTGCACGGCAGCCGGTTGCCCAGCCACCGCGCCAACCGTGCGGTCTTTTCTTGCAATAAGGTATCTGTGTTAGTGATTCGCCATCCAGATCCTAAATGGCGCTTTTAATAATTAATGATAGAAAAAAAATATCTTACCTCTGTTGGTTGCAGGTTGCGTGACTGTTCAATCACAGTCTCGGGTTCAATCT